CCCTTCCAGGGTCTGATGAGACCCCTTCCAGGGTCTGATGAGTCCCCATCCAGGGTTTGATGAGTCCCCTTCCAGGGTCTGATGAGTCCCCTTTCAGGGTCTGATGAGTCCCCTTCCAAGTTCTGATAAGTCTCAGTCCAGGGTCTGATGAGACCCCTTCCGGGGTCTGATGAGTCCCTTTCCAAGTTCTGATAAGTCTCAGTCCAGGGTCTGATGAGACCCCTTCCGGGGTCTGATGAGTCCCCTTCTAGGGTCTGATGAGTCCCTTTCCAGGGTCTGATGAGTCCCCTTCCAGGGTTTGATGAGTCCCCTTCCAGGGTCTGATGAGTCCTCTTCATCACAACGTAACGTGTGAAAATAAATGAATGAGCCTCCGGTGCAACAGTCATGAACTCTGATTGGCTCCCACACTGTTGCTATGGGAGACTCAACTGCTCCTCCCATTGGATTGAATGCTTTCCTGTCAGTCAGCATCTCGCCATCACCATGGCAACAGAGAGGAAGCAGAGCAAGAGGCTGAGACTGTTGTTGTTTGATGCAGCAGACACTCACAAGTCTCTCACACACAAACACACACGTGCGCTCACACACACACATACGCTCAGCTGCGACCTGCTAATCCCAGACTAAAGGAGGATTAATAATGACATGTCTGGATTAAAAAAATGAAACGTGGCTCTGAGTTTACTATAGATTTGCCCATTTTTGAGTCTTTTGGGGGGGGGGGGGGTTGTCTTAACGCAGGCGATAATGTTTTTTTTGTTCTCAACTGTGTGTGTTTGTCTGTTAGCAAAATATCTCATTAGCCACCAAACAAATTTTAACAAAATTTTCAAGAACAGTTACAGCTGATTTACTTTGGAAGTCATTACAATTCAAGATGGCCGCCACAGTTAAACAACCTGGGCCAACACAAAAATGGCAGTAACTCAATCAGTTTCCCAGATGTTGAACTACAGTTTGATGTGGTAGTAGCTGAGAATCAACCACAACCAAGACTCCAAGCTCTACACTGCCTCACATTGTGTCCATGTTGTTATACTTGGACATGTTTTCTGTCAGAACAGAAATCCCTTGCAGACGTGAATTTCCAGCTGTAGCACTCGTGGTGTGGGGTTAGGGCATCTTTATGGTTGTTTTGATAAGAAATTGGTCCCACAAATATTTTAGACATGTTAAAAATTCTACAGAAACAACAGCGAGCCTCAGAGACACAAGCAAAAAATGTTGAGAACCACTGCAACAGTTACGAGATACTTTTGAGACATTAGTGAGACTTTAATGAGACATTTGAGGACTGTCTAAGACATACAAGACAATAATTATACATTGGGACATTAATTAGACTTTAATAAGACATTATTGAGACATTTTTGATACATTTATTAGACTTTGATAAGACATTATTGAGACTTAAATGAGACATTATTGAGACATTAATGAGACATTATTAAGACATACTGCGACAATAATGATACATTACTCAGAAAAAATAATGAGACATTATTGAGACATTAATTAGACTTTGATAAGACTTTATTTAGACTTTAATGAGACATCATTGAGACATTATTGAGACATTTCTAAGACATACCGAGACAATGAGCCATTATTGAGATACTAATTTGACTTTAAGACATTATTGGGACATTGTTGAGACATTATTGAAACACTGAGACATTTTTGAGACACCACTGAGACAGTTAAGAGGTGTTGATGAGGCATCCATTCAACCTTTATTTATACAGTTTAATCCCATTGAGGCTCGGGGACTCATACGAGATGATGATTTACAATCAGCATTGTTGAGACATTAATGAAAAAGAAATGAATCATGGTTGAGATATCACTGAGACAATAATGATGCATTAATGAGACTTTAATGAGACTTTAATGAAACGTAAATGAGACAGTGCTTAGTCAGTAAGGAGACATTATTGAAACATTGAAACGTTTTTGAGAAATCACTGAGACAATAATGAGACATTATTGAGACAGTTCTAAGTCATTGCTGGAACAAGAAAGATTTATTTGACATTTGCACAAATGTGTCCTAAATACATATTAGATGAGTCTGTAATTAAAAATATGTGTAGTTTTTATTTTATTATTTATTATTATTATTATTTTGCTTTATTTAGAAGGGCAACAATTTAGTGGGTTTTTTTTTTTTTTTACTTTTTATTTCTATAATAAACAGGTGTGTCTTTGTTTTTTTGTTTTGTTTTTAATAAACCCCTGAAAGTGAAAAATGAGCCACTGATCAACAACCCTGGAAGTTTTCTTTGCAAAGACTTGGTCCAGCATTTCAGTCTGGTTTCCACCTTCTGTGTGACTCACACCAACCCTCACTCTTTCTGACCTTGGGGAATAGAAACAATAAAAATGGAGGTGGGTGTAGATAAAAGGGTGGAGAGAGTCAGCTGAGCAGGAGGAGGAGAACGAGGAGTGTTGCTCTGACTGGAATTGCATAACCTCCTCTGACCCAGAAACCTCCTGCAGTCCGTCTGAACCTCCTAAAAACATTGGAGTTGAATGAAATGGACGGCAAGGACGAAACATCTGAGACGTTCAGCAGGACGTAAGGAGAGCTGACAGGTGAAGACAGAAAATATAAATTATACCAAAGGACGGTGAAAGCCTGATTTACTGATTAAATAAAGCCGTTGAACACAGATGAGTCTGAAAGAAAACAAACACTGTAAAATAATGAAAATATGCAGATGAGTAAATAAAATGAGTTCCGACAGAAGGAGAATATAAAAACCTAACAAGGTTCAGTCAGGTCATCTGGATGGGTTCTGCTTTGTTGAAGAACAAACAAGAATTCATCCAGACTCATCTCGTGTATTTATGATACCTTTGGGCAAATGGCAAATAACTCTCTCTTGTTCCAGCAATGACATAGAACTGTCTCAATAATATCTCATTGTTGTCTCAATGATTTCTCAAAAATGTTTCAATGTTTCAATAATGTCTCATTACTGACTAAGCACTGTCTCATTTACGTTTCATTAAAGTCTCATTAATGTATCATTATTGTCTCAGTATGTCTTAATAATGAAACAATAATGATTGAATAATGTATTATTAAAATCTCATTAAAGTATCATTAATATCTCAATAATCCATCCATCCATCCATCCATTATCTTTACCCGTTTATTCCATTTTGGGTCACGGGGGTCGCTGGTGCCCATGTCCAGCAATCACTGTGCGAGGGGCGGGGTACACCCTGGACAGGTCGCAAGTCCATCACAGGGCCACATAGAGACAAACAACCATTCACTCTCTCACTCACACCTAGGGACAATTTAGAGTTACCAATCAGCCTAACATGCATGTTTTTGGTCTGTGGGAGGAAACCGGAGCACCCGGAGAAAATCCACGCATGCACGGAGAGAACACGCAAACTCCACCCAGAAAGGCCCCTGGACCGGGGTTTGAACCAGGGACCTTCTCGCTGAGAGGCAGCAGCTCTACCAGTTGCACCACCGTGCTTAATATCTCAATAATGTCTTATTAAAGTCTAATTAATGTCTCAATAATGTCTCATTACTGACTAAGCAATATCTCATTTATGTTTCATTAAAGTCTCATTATTGTATCATTATTGTCTCAGTATGTCTTAATAATGTCATTAAAGTCTCAATAATATATAATTATAGTCTCATTATGTCTCATTAAAGTATAATTAATGTATCATTATTGTCTCAGTATGTCTTAATAATGAAACAATA